GGCATGAAGACGAGCAGCTCCTCCAATGCTTGTTGTCACGTTCACCCTTAATGTTCAACTGTTGCTGACGAGACTTCATCTTGACGTGGTGTGATGGCTCGTGCACTTCTCTGACCCAATGAGCTACACAGGATGGCTTTTTTCAAGCCGAAGATCTAATGACACCTGGAAGGTCGAAGGGTGGAGGTCAGAAGAAGTTCAGTCTCCTGGTCCTCAAGGTTGGGGGTTCGACTAGAATTTGTGTTCCGGTCTTTAAAAAATAGTGGAGGAGTAATCTATCCTAGTAAATGGGTCTGTACTTTGCTTCACCCGCTGCCTTGCAGTTGGGTTCTTACTACATTTCTCCACACACATCTAGGGAGGCTTTTGACAGCGTCCTGCATTTCTGGTGGTACAAGTGAGGCATCAACACTAATACCTTGAACGGCATCAGACCGGCAACCTCGTTTGCCACAAGGGTAGTATCCAGTATTCGATGGTGACGAAGGAGTGGATTCTTCCTACCCAAGCCAGTAAGTGGTGTCAATTTTCGTGTCAGAAATCGCCAATTACAAAACAATTAGAAAACGATAATCAATTCCCCTTATTGGATCATTATAAACTTTTGTTTTTATTCGTATCTTTCCCTACCGTTGGTCTGTTATCTTATATTATTGGATAGTTTCCGAACAGAGAGCATCCGTCAGACAACCTTCGGAAAACCCTAAGTAAATAATATCCGTTTTCGCACTTTTCCAACACCCATCGTTTTTTTGTGACTGTATTCCACGACAAGTAAAAAAGGCATGCAAAGAGCGGAAAAGCAATTAATTAGAATGAATAGAGCGGATCGTGATTTCCAGCCGCTGAAACGACGTGGCCTAGGAAAGTAACGGATGATTGACCAAACGAGCACCTTGAAGCGTTGATCGTTATCCCATATTGAGATAAACGTTCAAAAAGTGCACGTAGATGGCGCAAATAATCTTCCGTCGAGGAAGAGGCTACCAAAATGTCGTCGAGGTAGCAGTCAACGTTGTCAAGTCCACGACAGACTTGGTCGGTGAACCGTTGAAAGGACTGAGCGGCGTTACTCAGCCCGAACGGCATGCGAACGAATTTGAATAACCCAAACGGAGTAATGACGGCCGTTTTGGGGATGTTTTTAGCGACGGGAATCTGGTTGTACGCGCGAACCAAATCGATCTTACTAAAGAACGACCTACCAACGAGGTTCGCAGTCAGATCCTGTATGTGAGAAATGGAATAGCGGTCTGGGACTGTGTACTTGTTGAGTGCTCGGTAATCGCCGCAAGGGCGCCAGTCACCTGAACTTTTCAGGGCTATGTGTAGCGGAGAGGCCCATGGGCTATCGGAAGGACGAATGACACCTAGTTGTAACGTGTTTGAATTCCATCTTTGCGACTGTGAGTTTGTCGGGGGCCAACCTACGAGGTCGGCTGTGAACAGGGGGACGATGTGGTGTTCTACCTGCACTGAGACTGCGGGTAGATCGCCAGAGGAACGGACGAGCGATGGATATTCGCGAACAACTGCGTCGAATTGAGTTGACTCTTGGAATTGCTAATAGCGGGGTAAGGGTAGACTTTTTCGCGGGTTGACCTGTCGCTTTGAGTTTTGTCGTGCGGTCTACCAGTCTACGCTTTCTGGTGTGTACTAGAAAGTTGAAGTTTTGAAGGAAATCGATTCCCAATAAAACGAATGGGACTTTCGCGACGTAGGAAACCCATGAGAAGTTAAGACGTAGGTTGAGACCTAGGGTAACTTCTGACCGTAGGTTTCTATGGGTGTCCCGTTGGCGGCTTTTAAATGGTTGCCGGCCGGTTTTGCGGAACTGTCGATGTTGGGGAGAACGCTAACTTCGGCTCCGGTGTCTACCAGGAAGTCTCTATGAAAATTCCTGTCCCTGATAAAGGACAGACGACCTGTTTGGGATGCACCGGACGTGGTGGTCGTCGTGATACGTCGGCCTAGTAGTTTCCCGACGACCGGCGGTTACGATGTTTGCAACCCGTCTTACAACGCCTGGTATGGTCACCGAATTCATGATGGTACATACAAACGCCGTCCGCGTCTAACGCGGGAATATTTGTTCTACTGCGCGACGGTGATCTTCGGCCGCGTGAAGTTGAGCAGCTCGTGCTGCGACCCCTCATGACTATGTCCCGGAGTTCTGTCATCTGTCTTTGCAGGTCATCGAGAGTGACCGGCGTTCTTTTGTTGACAGTTGTGCGATCGTAACGCACAACGTTTCGATTTCCTTATCCCTATCGCTAGGGGCAGGGGAGGGTGGAACCACTGGCGTAACGGCGTGCAGCTGTTGTCTCTCCACTGCAGCATCAGTCGCAGCCGCTAACTGGTCTAAGTCTAGATTAGGTATAGCAACGATGATGTCCTGTACGGCGTTTGGTATCCGTTGCAACCACAACTCTCGCAGAAGTGATTCGTACATGAGAGATGGCCAAGCTATTTGACACATTTCACGTAGAAGCATTGAAGGCTTTTTGTAGCCGAGCGTCAGCGTATGGCAAAGCTGGGTTAGCCTTGTTCGTTCGGAAGGACCAGGCTCTGTTACGATCCGCTCCTTCAAGAGCCTATACCTATTTTCGCTAGTGTCCATTAGGATAATGTCTTCCGAGGCCCCAACTTGCGCGGGGCTCAGCCTGGTAATGAGTTGTCCGTACATTTGGTCATGGGACACGCTCGAAAACGGTAAACCATACCGACGGCTTAGTGACTGCTAGGTCTGGAATAGGCAAAGAGCATTACCACTAAGACAGGTTTATATTCTTCAAACATTGTGAATATGTGAATATGTCGCGTATAAAAAAACGATTCTAATTGCTAATGTGCTAGAAATGAACGGTCATAAAAACGATTAACCGTAAAAGGGTATAAAATGCCGAGAAAAAATATTAGGGTCCGTACAAATACGCACCACTTTAGATAGCTTGCACTATCTACGATAACTAAGCGCGAATTATCTCACCGTTCCTGAATACGGTGAAGAGCAATACGGCTATTGCTCTGAACAGGTAAGAAGACGGACAACGCGTGACCAACGGTTTGTAGAGTGAGACCTGCAGCGAAAGGTTTACACGTGCAACGAGGTAGCGTGACTCACCGGGACAAGTGACAATTCCGCGGTTGAGCGTAAGCAGGTAAAGTGCACCTGGTAAAACAAAAGCTTGTTTCCAATAGGAGTAGGAGTCATAGGCAAAAGGTGAAAGTGGCGTGTTACTACAGAACAAATACCTCAAACGGGGAATGAACGAGGAATGAATGATAGTGTGCAAGAAGCGAGCCCAAGGTTTCTCCAAGCACTGCTAAGAGCTGCAATGATGCATCGACTGTATTGATTAACATAGCTATGAAGCCCCAGGTCTCAGAGGAGCGCTTGAGGGGCTTGTAGTTGGTATAAATCCTGTCCACCGTTCAAGATACGCTGGACATATATGAAAAAGAGTTACTCGCAGCGAAAGACGTTACACAGTACGCGCAGAAAGCACTGGGCAGAGGGGAACAGCACATTTAATTATCCCTGGTTAGAGTGAGAAATGTAATGATAAAATGATTACCTGAACCATACTGCATCGCAGCGAGGCAAAGGAAAAGCGGCCTGCGACATCACTTTATGAACTTACTAAGGATATCGGGAGTACCGGGACATGCGAACATGAAGCGAACCTTCAGACTGGAAAGATGGCAAGTTCAGCAAAAAGAGCGAGGTCGCGCCAAGGCCGATATTAGTTGATTTCGGCAACCCAAGGCACGGAGACTGCCTCTTATCCACGGGAGACAAACTGTTGGCCCATTTTAAGGGCAAAATGATAGTAGAGCCAAATCACTTGACAGGGCAAAGCCACAGTGCGTCCAAACCAAAACGACGGAATAAGGGAACCCAATTCCACTAAATGAGATCAGAAGGGCGTCGGGATCCAACCAGACTCCTGATAGAGTGCGGTTATCGCCGGGGCGAGTGCCTGAGCCAGTGGCCTGATGACGGCCGGATGTAGCCCGTCGCTGCCGGCACACTTGTTCACATTCAAGTTCTCCAAAACCTTGAGAACACAACTAGCTGAGAATTCCACATCACCTATTAGAGGGGTGTCTAAGCACTCTCGTGGAACTGCACGCCCGTCGTCTATTTTATAGAAATTTTCGAAATACCTCTTGGGCGTCTCATCGTTTTCATAATCTGAGACAGACAGCCCACCTTCGGGGTTTTCCAAAGTACCTACCGATTGCCTTAGTGTAGTCTTCAATTGCACATAGCTATAGTACCTCTTGGGTTCCTGGCGCGACCTCTTGGCCATTTTCACCTCAAAAGCCATGTTCGCCTGGTTTACTAGCTTGCTAGCATAGTTTCTCGCTTTCTTATATTGTAGCCATCGATCATGCCCTCGTGTGAGAACGAATGCC